ATGAGGTAATAGTGACAACCCATTTTACTTCATTCAAGCCTTGATTCTTTTTCAGGATAGTTTTCTCTTAGTTACTCAAATATCTCAGGTATAGTTTGTTTTTGGACTGAATCATTTGTACCTTTGCCTCAATTTTCCACACTGCTTTACGTATGTTAGCACAGCTGTAGATAACTACAGGCAAAATTAAAAGGAAGGAAAGGTATAAAAATTAGGAATGTCAAAAGAAAGGAGAACAAAGGGGAAATAGAATAGAAGATTAGGAGAACAGAGCTCACTGGTACATAGCCTTTTGTGCCCAAGCTGTGAAAATGAAATGCCCAAAATTTTCTTTGTAATCAAATATAGATGCAAGCAAGGCAGGGAAGATGGACTCTCACTCTCTTCACTGAACCTATCTCTAATGGGCAGATTCATAGTAGACACAAGACTAGTTACAGATTTCAAAATGTCCAGATAATATCATTTATTTCATGTATTATCCATTTTTTCTATGGAAGGGCAATGGAGTTTTCTCATCTTTGTAAGCCTAATAGTTTCATTTTATTTCCATTTCTTATTTTTTCTAAGGAAGTCTTATTTTATATATCATATTTCCTTCCTTCTAGAAGTACCAACAATTTCTCCATTTTCATTTGTGTCCTACAGGAAATGAAATGAGGAAGGGACATTGTATCTTTGAATATTTGTAAGCTGTTAAATCACCTTTTCAGGGTGGACGCTAGAGCATTTTTACTGACAAACTCCACAGAATTGGTAATAAGTTATCTCTAAAGAAAATGCTTAAAATAATTGTTTTTAATTATACTTTTGAATAATGAAAACTGACAGAAATAAAATTTGATTTATATCAGAATATAAATAATACCCATGTTTAAGAATGACATAAGATCACTATTGTAAATGAACTTCCATTATTTTCATATTTAAACATTCTATGACTAGTTACATTTAGTTTCCCAAGTCAAGGAAGTAGATAGTAGATAGAGGGCTGGACTTGGAGTTTAGAAGACCTAGGTTTAAATCTTGCTTCTGACACCTACAAGCTGTTTGGAAATAGGCAAGTTACATCTCTGAACCTATTTCCTCCTCTTTAAAATGGATATAATAGTATCTAGAATAACTGTTGCTCAGGGTCATTGTGAAGTGCATATTAGATAATGTTTACAAAGTGTTTCATTCACTTTAAAAGACTATGTAAATCATATTTTAGAGTAGAGTCTAAGGTACAAACAGCCAATACAAACTTATCAAAGCTCCCAAGCATTCATGCTCTGAGTAGGTGCTCAAATTTTCCACCTTAGGGCAAGACAACAGATCAACATGATCTAAGGTATAAGTATGTGTAAAGTCTAGCCAAAAGAGCAAAGAGGTGAACATTTTTGTGTCCACTTATTGTGTGGTTTTGGGGTTATAAAGAGGGATGTGCTCATAAATGTTTAGCATCCAGTTCTCAGGGGAGGGGGGATGGAGTAAACACAACACATTTTTTTAGTTTAATCTGCATTAGCAATATTTTATCCATCATTTTTTTTTGATGAGGCAATTGGGGTTAAGTGACTTGCCCAGAGTCCCACAGCTAGTGAGTGTTATGTGTCTGAGGCCAGATTTGAACTCAGGTCCTTCTGACTCATGGGCCACTGCTCTATCCACTGCTCACCTAACTGCCCCCCATCATTTTCTTAATTCTAGACAATCAACAGAACAATAAATCAAACCTTGATTTGTGGTGACTGCCAATTTTTGAGGTATAAATGGTTGCACTGAATATTTAACAATTGTCCCACAAATTGGTATCAGCTGACTCCAGAACACTACCGATAAGTTCATATTACCTGTCCCTTCATCCCTAAAAAAGCATGACAATACCTGCTTAGATTGCCTCATGGTGGTTTTTTTTGTTTTGTTTTATATTTGATGCTAGAGAGAAATTACTTGGAGAAGTTAATTAAGTTAGCAGAAAAGTAACACTATAAAGGCTGAGAAACTCTCTTCTATAAGTCCATACACCCTTACTAGAGCCCTGATATCTGAGTTGAGCTTTTTGCTAAGTTTCAAAATCTTTCTATTGCTTTCATCAATCAATACCTATCAATAGCCTACATTAATATTCATTTGATTATCCCATTTTATGGCTATTTTATATCTCACACTTGTCATATAAGTATGAATATTCCATTACTCTTGTTGGCAACCATAACTAAACTTTATTTTTCAAGTAAAAAGAAAAAAAAGAGTTATCTGTGTGCCATGTCAAATGGAAGGTTTATCTATTGCTCAATTATTGGATAAAGATTTCATATTTTTTAATTTAATTATTGTTTGTAAATATTTTTTAAAAACTGTAACTTTTTGCTGAATGTGAAAGGATTTAGGGACATTTTATACTGTCAACTTTTTCAATACTATTCTAGTGCCTTGTCATGACATAGACGTGGCTTTAGCTTTGCCAGCAAGTCCTATCAAATTGAAAAGGCCAAAGCATATTCTCAGCGATGGACTCTCTCCACTGCTGGAGGACTAGTCTAAAAAGACTCCTTATCAGAGATCTGGCAATGTCTCCTTTGGCTATGGTCTCCAACAAAACTGATCTCAAAAAGATAAAGGCATTTGATTCATTTCAGTAAGTATTTATTGGGAAGGGCAGCATGAAGCAGTGGACAGAACACAGACTTCAGGACCAGGATGACCTGGGTTCAATTTATACTTTTGACACATACGCAGATCATTTAATGTCTCAGTATCTCAGTCTACAGGCTGCAGATGAGTTGCTGATGTGCATAGGTAGAGACAGTTTCTTCTCTAGGATACATCTATACTTAATGAAATCACTCACCAAAACTGAAAAATAAATAAAAAAATAAAAAAAAATATTTGTTATGGACCAACTGTGTATGGCAGGACTATGTACTATGGGAAATATCATAGTCTAAGACAGAGGCTGGCAGACTGAAGCCCAGCAGCCAAATCCAGCCCATCATTTTTATTTTGTATGGCCCTAAGAACAGCTTTTACATTTTAAAATGAAGTTGTATTTAAATTGCATTTTAAAAATAAAATTGCATTAATAATGTAAAAGTTATTCTTTGTTTACTGGCCATAGAAAAGCAGGCTGTGAGCAGTGGGACGTAGTTTGCCAACGCCTAGTCTAAAACATAAGCCTTGCCTTCTCGGAGCAACCTTAAGATAGTGTGTGTGTCTTTGGAAAGAGCTGAAGAATATTCTATGGGCACAAATCCAAACTGTCATATGGGAAAAAATTGGGGGGAAAGATAATTTTCAGAGAGTGGTGGGATGGAGGTGTCAATGCCATTTATGATCGTTGCAGATGACATTTTTTAATGTCATTTTAAAGGGTAACCTTTATTTGTCTTGCTTTATTCCCTCCCCCTTTCTACTCGTAAGCAATCTGGAGTTCCAAAAAAAAAAAATGTTTGAATTCCCTTCTTGTATCAGAACATCTCTACCATTTTTCTTTCATTCATTATTCCAAATTCCTTTTTTAAATTTTCATGTTCAAATGCTCCAATTTATCAGTGGCCTTATTTTTTGAAAATCAAATTAAAGGCTACAAGCTAGATAAAGTGTGGTAGTAATTAAATGACTGGCACAGCTGCATAGAATTGCTACAGCTGAATGACCCTCAAGTATGAGGAAATAAAAAAAAATCCTCCAGACAGATCCTGTTCTATAGTGAGATCAACAGAATGTAAGTTTTTTGAGGCAAGAAAGGTGCTGTTTCTAGCATCTAGCACATTTCCTGGTACAAGGTGCTTGATAAGAACTTGTTTATTGATCCTTTACAAAATTAACAACTGAAGCAGAAAGATATTTATGTGTGTGTGTATGTGTGTGTGTGTGTGTATATATATATACATATATATACACATATATATGTATACATATATATGTGTGTGTGTGTGTGTATATATATACATATATATACACATATATATGTATACATATATATGTATCACACATATATGTATATGTAATGATCAGGGCTCATACTTTTCCCAGATTATTTCATAGAACCCACTGTTTATTTGCTGAGATTCTCCAAAAGAATAGCCATTCACCAGCATCATGTTCTATCTTTATGCTTTTCATTTCCTTTAACATTAAGAAGTTTCAGAATATGTAATATTGATACAAAAAACTGTCTGTCACACAAGAGTCAAATGAATTAGGTTGAAATTCAAGGGATACGTGCGTGGGCCAATCATTTAACCATTCTACTGGGTTTCAGAGTTTGTTTTTAAACCATAAAATGAGAGGTTGAACTGAATTACCTCTAATGTCCCTTCCAGGAAAACAAACAAACAAGTATGGTCACACTTATTTTAGCATGGAGGTAATTCTGCGTTCTCAAAAGCTATGCAAATGGAGCTTCTACACTGGCAGGTCCCATGAGGCTAGAGAGGCTTCTGGCAGAGGTCTAGTGATAGAATATATTTCTCTTATCCCAGGACCAGCCTAGCTGGTTTGGCAATAATCCTTCCAGGTTAACTATAATCTGATGAATTTTTCAGCTTCATCCACACCCCAAAATTATCCAATAGTGCATTGAGACTTTGAAATCTATGCGGATAGATAGAAAAGCCCATCCTCAACCAAACACCATCTCTTAAAATGTTAAAGTAAATACTGGGAACCATTTGGATAAGCAACATTTGTTAAGCCCAGAACCTCTTTCCCTCCAGCTGCATTTTCTAGCGTAGCCCTGACATCTACCATCATGTGCATAAACATCCAATCTTCACAAAAACACTAACTATGGGAAATGACAAACCTACGTTTAGGTCTTTGATAGTTTACCAGTGTACTTTTTATGGATGTAAATACAAGTTTGTCAGAATTTTTGTTTTTCAAACATTGTTCTGATCTACCCTTATTAGCCTGGAAAATATCAGAAGGAATGAATTCAGAGTTAGCATAGGCAGCAGGGTATCAGATTGAAGAATTGCCAAAGTCCAGGTGGATGAGTTGGTCACACTTACTGGTAAGTCGTCGGGCTGACATTGATGCGTCGTGGATGGCTGCCTGATTCAAACTTGCTGGCAAGGGTGACATTGTTTCCAAAGAGGCAATACCTTGGCATTCTTACACCAACAACTCCAGCCAGGACAGACCCTGAGTGAATCCCTATCCTCATCTGAATAAAAGAAATAGATATGCATACAGAGAGAGAGAGAGAGAGAGAGAGAGAGAGAGAGAGAGAGAGAAGAGAGAGAGAGAGGGAGAGAGAGAAACATATGTAAATTTTCATTTTCCTCTATAAACATCAAAATAAGAAATATAATTAACTTATTACTGAAAATAATACTGAAAAAATCCTTGTTGTACCTCATATTCAGTGATTAATCAAACAACAAATATTTATTTTGGGCACTTTCTACATGTCGAGCACTGTGCTAGGCATTGGGAACAGAAAGATAAAGATGAGTTATTGTCTGCCCTCAAGAAGCACACATTCTAGCAAAGAACACAGATGTACATATATAAGTATGCATAAAATATATACATGGCAGTTTTGGTGTGGGGTGAGGACTAATACTTTGGAAAGACCTCATGGTAGTGCTTAAGAACCTAAAAGGTTCTTTATAATAATATTTAATAATAATAATAAATAACAATAATTAGTATTTATCCTATTTTTCTTGAATATTTTGACACATCCAAAGATCTATGATCTCATAAGTGTGGATACTCTCCACTGACAGATTGAAATATTTCACTGACTTAGTAAGATGGTTTCATTAGTTGTTATTACCAAAAAAAAAAAAATTATCTTGTGGTCAGCTTTTTGTTAATGAATTTTGCCAGAATTTAGCTAAGGTTAAACAGTCTGTTGCTAAGACCATGTGTAAAGTCTTTCTAGGTTGGTGGGTTTTGCCATGTACTCAATTGGAAAAGCCTTCAAGACCCAGGATTAATGCCATACCCCTAGTGAGCTAGTTAAAGAGAACTATAGTGGAGCTAAATCCTTCCTGCTAAGGAGCTTCACATATGGAATCAATATCTTTTTTAAATATGCAAATATAACTACAACAATATAGCTATAAAGAAACAATCCAAATCAGGGTTTGGAAGCACTCAGACCATGGAGTTCATTCACCCATCAATCATTTTATTAAGTGCCTACTATGTGCCAGGAACCATATAAGTACTATGGACACAGAGACAAAAATGAAACACTCTCCACCCTCAAGAAGCTTATATTCTATTGATGGTAAGCATTCAACAGGTACATGGTCATATATTTGGTCATATGACCAAGATAGGAAGATAACCAATACAGAGAAATTGCACAAAAACCCAGGAATGGATCCAATTTATAGGACTGACCCTGCAAAGGAATTCTATGGCTATGGCAGATATACTTTACCCTCACTTGGAGCTGAATCTGCTCCCAGGTTCTGACTCTATAATTTTGGGGTTTACCCTAAAGATGTATAGGAGAGTGCAAACAGGTCACAAGTGAATAACTAGAAGACAGTACAGTGCAACAGAAAGAACACTGTATTTTGAGTCAGAAGATCTGTTAACTTAGCTTTGGCACTTATTACCCGTATGCCCTTAGAGGACAAGTCATTTAACTTCTCTGGGCCTCGCTAAAATGAGCATTAGTCTAGATGATCTCTGAGGTCCTGTCCAATCCTAAAAATCTGATGTCTTCAAAGGGCAAGAACTACTTCTCCATCTGCTCTTCAATATACATACACATGTATTTCCCAGTAAGACAAGCATGATGACTTCCCTTTTGGTAGGATATATCAGAAAAACATAATGAATGGCATTCCTGAGAACAGAAAATATGCTGAACCTGCAGTTTCATCTCATCCTATTTCATCCCTCATTACTGACTATGTGATTCTGGGCAAGTCAGTTAACCACATGAGCCTTGGTTTCTTCATACCCTTACAGTAGTTCTAATATGTATTGTGCCTCTCTCTTAAGGTTGCAAGGATCCAGTGAGCTATGTCAATGTATATGAATTTATCTTATAAAGTTGCAAGTTCCATATAAATATATATCATGTAGAAAAATTGAGTGAGACCACTTCTTGGCTAAGCTACGTTATGCAAGTGAGTAAACAAAAACTGGTCATAGACTAGGAGCAGGACTCTTAATCTCTTGGTCACATGTGCTCCAGATTGGCTGAGACTAAGGGATGAGAAAAGCAGAAGAGTGATACTATAGACTATCAGTGGCATCAATGTGGCAGAGAGGCAGCTGGGTGGCTCTAGGGAGTGTTGGACTTTGAGTCAAGAAGACCTGAGTGCAAATCTGGACTTTGACACTTGCTAGTTGTGTGGTCATGGATAAGCCTCTGAACATCTAGCATCCTCTGTTTCCTCGTTTGTAAAATGGAGATAATAATAATGCTTGCTTCACAGGATTGTTGAGAAGGTCAAATGAAAGGATGTATCTAAAGTGCTTTTATCATCATCATCATCATCATCATCATCATCATCACCAATGTCATTGGAGACACTTTGAGGAGGACCTATTAGCATCCAAAAAATTTACAAAGCCAGAGGTAAATAACCCATTCTCTGTCATCCCTGTCCTTGATATCAGTTACCAAAACGAAGGACCAATATATGTTAACCTCATATTATGGGCCCTAGGATGATTGCCTAGGGAAAAAAATACCCTTCCCACTGTAAGGCTGGCTGTGGCCTAACTATAGCTCTGAATGCCATTATGTATTGATTTCAAAAATGTGTGTTTTACACAGATAATATGATTTGATAAAATAATACTGTCCACTCTATTTCCTTTCCGTCCCCCTAAGAAAACCAAAGACCTACAAAATTCAGAGCTATCTTTGATGAAGAATCTTCGAAGATGTATGAAGGTGAAAAGAGTTGATAGGTTCAGGGATAGAGAGGAGGGTAAATGAGAAAAAGTCTTTTAAAAATACATCTGTATAGTCCTTTGTTCAGAATCAGGGAAATAATGGGCAATCTTATTATATTTCTCCTGTGTTTCTATTTTCAGTCACAGATACACCAGCCTGTTCCTGTGCCAAATTGACCTGTGCAATACAGATCTGCCTAAGGGAAATTCAGAACTCCAAGGCCAAGTCTGTCAATGGGGACTTCCTACCATTACAGAGATCTTTTCAAACAGGAGGCACAGCAGAATGAATGAACATTGCAATGACAGTTTTCACAGCCTCATTATTTTATGCTCTTCATTTTTAAATTACACCCCTATGCCTCTATCCTAAAGCCAGTAGGCTTTTATTATCACATTGTCAGGAAGAGAGATGTTCCAGAAGAAGACCTTGAGGATTTTATTGGTGGGGGGAGGAGGTTAGTTTTTTTTTGTTGTTGTTTGTTTGTTTGTTTGTTTCTTTAGTCCACTTACCAGAAGGATATACAAGAGAACATTATCCTTGGGAAGTCACAAGTAACCCAGACTCATAACTCTTAATGAGTTGAGATACTGAAATACAGTTGCACTAGAAAACAGGGAGACCTCACCAAGTCCCTTTTAAACTGAATCATCAGTGTACATTTTTTTACAATGAACTCTGATTTCCTTAGAAAGCACTTATATCAGAAAATTATTACCTCTCTCACTTAGGTGACCTTAGCAAATTTCCAAAGGATATAGTGAAACAACAACAAATACCACAAGGTGTTTATTCCCACCAGACTTAAGACTGAGGTCTTCTTAGGCTAACTATAGTTACGAGATTCTATCTGTAACAAAAAAAAAATGTTCACCACTTCAAAAATATTGATTTGGTCCTAACATGACCCACTGACAGCCTATGAGCAGTCAATGATCCAGGATAAAATAAACTGAAAGTTTATTAAGTTACAAAATAGAATTATAGACTTAGAAAGGATCTTCTTGCCAAAGCCCTGCCCAAAACAACATACTCAGCAAGTGGTCATTCAGCTTCCACTTGAATGACTAGTTTTATGGCTTTGAAGGCAGCTCCTATTAGGAAATTCCTCTTTATACTGAGCTAAAAATTTTCCTTCTTACAATTTCCATCTACTAGAGATCTTTCTGCCTTCTGAGGAAAAGAAATATAAGCTTAATCCTTTTTTCACATGACAACCTTTCAAACATCAGAATTTTTTAACTTATCAGAACCAAATTGGTCAGAATCTTCAACAAAGTAGAGTTTTTTATTTGGCTATTTTCTAGTTTACCATTAGGAGGGAGAAAGAACAACTTCACATTAAAGTATTTAACTTTCTCCCCCACTGTCCCAAGAAAGCTTATAGGGTATAACATAGGATTGGTACCTAATAGCCTAATTGTTGACACCTATATCTATTATCCTGATCAATGAGAGTTGATATTAGGAACAATGATCCCGAGTCACAGATGCTCAGTTATATTTTGTTCACTGTTTCCTATTTACTACTTGATAAAGTCAGAAAATAGAACCTAACATTTTTAAAAGAAAAAAAATCATATGTGGTTTGAAATTACAGTTTTCTACTTCTTGATGAACCAGAATAACTACATTGTAGTTCACCATTTAGAGATAAATCAACCTTAGGGACTATCTTGTGTATCCCTTTTATTTTTTACAAATGAGAGAAATAGGGCCCAAAAGTAGGAAATGGGACATTCAACTTCATTCAGCTTGTTAGTTGAAGAGCCAGGCCAAGAGCCTAAATCTCCTCAGTTGCTCTGTGAAAAACATCCAAATCCCCAATACTTAATATGCTGCAAAAACTGGATCCAGTTTTCATTTTTAATATTATTTTCCATGATTCCCCCAAACTCTCTGCTTTAAGCAGGCTTGATTGCTCTTTCAGAAGATTTTTACCTATTGTATCACGAAGTGTCCAAAATGAGAGAGGTAACCTAGTGAGGGCACATCAAGAATAATATGTTTAGATTTGGATGCCACATTTTAGCTGGTGCTTTGACAAGTCTAGAGATGGGCTTTGTCTATTGCAAGCCCGGTTGAAGGAAATGGGAATGTGGAGTTTGAAGAGAATCCAAGGAGGAAGGAGTAGCCAACTTTAAGTATTTCAAGGACTTTTGTCACATGGAAGGGGGAATAGGCTTGGTTTCAGAAGGCAGAACTAGGAACATTAGCCAGTAGCTTCAGAGAGACAGACTTAGAATCACTGTAAGAAAAAAAAAAGAACTATCTAACCATTGCAGCTA